CAGCGCCGCGTGCTGCGCAAGGGCAAACAGGGCGGGAGCCAACGCGTCGCCCTGCTCGCAGCCACCTCGACCACGCCGATCCCTGCAGAGGGTCGCATTCCCGATCGCCGGCAACATCCCCACCCCCCGCCAAGAAAGAGATTTTTGATACCGAGCTCTTTCTTTTTTCCCGCGCATTAAGTTCTTAACCTAACTTACGTAACCTAGTTTACACAGCTGCTAACGCCGAGCCTCTACACCTAGCTTAGCCTAGCTCTATGCACCTAGCTCCATGCGCTTGGCTCTATGCACCTGGCTCGATGCACTTCGCTCTTTGCACTTGGCTCTGTGCACTTGGCTCTGTGCACTTTGGCTCCTTGAGTCTCGCTCTTTGCACTTCGCTCGAGCACTTGGCTCTATGCGCTTGGCTCTTTGCACTTGGCTGCGCAAGTAACTCTACGCTGGTCACTCCATGCTGGTGACTCTGTGCAAGTCCGGCAGTGACACGGCGAGGCATGGAGCAGGGCGCAAGTTCTCCAAGGGCAAACCTAATGATCCGACAGGCTTGTTTCTGAAGCTGTTGGTGCCAGATCACTGCAATTGGACCTGGGCATGTGGTTGGCGAATTTGATACAAAAACGCATCGTTTTTTGGCTCGCGGCTTTTCACGCCACATGGTCCGCCCCCCCGGCGTGGAACGAGCTCGCGCACGAGCGAGGCTGCGGAGGAAGCTGCGCACTTCCGGGCTCCACCGGCCCCCTACATCCCCCCTCTTCAAGTGCCCCCAGCGGTGCCCTACCGACCTCCCTGCCCAGCAGGCAGCTCCCCACACCACATCCCCCCGACGTTGACGCACCACTTCCCACAGCCGCCCGGCACCCTGCCCGTGCTCCACCTCCGCCGCAGTTTTTGCGTGGCCCCTTGCGCCAGGCCCTTTTGGTCGCTCTCGATGGCATCCGGCTGTCTGCCTCCCCAAGCGGCGCCGAGGCGGAACGCGCGTGGAAGCTTTGGCTTTTCCTGCCACGGCGTGCTCCTTCATAGGCCCGCTGACGCTCCCCGTGTCCCGAAGGAGGTGTTCGCGGCCGGTCGGACCTCCCGTTTTCTTTGGGCTTATGCCCGTGGCCAGGTGCGCCGCATCTACCAAGCTGAAGGGGCGTGTGTCGGCCTTTCTTGATGACCTTTACGTCCGCCCGCAGCAGCCGGATCGGGTTGTCCATCTCCTTCCTCGCTTGGAGCTTCACCTGTATGCTCACAGCCCGCTGGTATTGCCCCTGCCGGAATCCAACATCTGCGGAGGTTTGGGTTGGGAGCCACGCCTTCCATAGTGACCAACGCGGCATCCGTGTCCTTGGCACTCGGCTTGGGAGTGGCGAGTTCATCGCTGCCAGCCTGGCCGCCCTCAGCGCTGACCATGCAGCCCTTCTCGACCAGCTCCCCGGCCTGCCGGATCTCCAAACAGCTTGGCTGTTGCTCCTCTACTGCGCCTCTGCTACGTCCTGCGCGTCCTGCCCCTGAGCACACGCGGGCCTTTGCGGCTGAGCACGACCGTTCCCTCCTCCACTGCTTGGCGGATCTCCTGCAGTTTGAGCGGCCCGACCTCCACCGCCGCCAGCACTGCCCAGCTTGCTTTTCGCCACGGCGGGCTCGGTCCGAAGCGCCGTGCAGCACAGCCGCGTGTTGGGCATCTTGGGCGGATAGTTTGCCTTCCCTCGCCGTCCGGGCGCCCGACGTCTTCGCCGCTCTCCTGCCTCAGCTCGAGTCCCCTCAGCCCGACTCCGCTTCAGCGCACGCTCTCTGCGATGCTCGCCAACGTCTCTTTGACCTTGGGTTCGGCCCGCCGCCGTGGACTAGCATTACCAGGGAGGGCCCGCCTGAGCCTGTCCTTGACGAGGACCCCTCGGAAGACCGGCAACGTGCCAACGGCAATGGCAGCCGAAGCCGTCTCAACAAGATCACGCGAAAGTGGGACGGACAGCCTGGCTCACGCGCGTCGTCTGCAAGCAGCACTTCCTCGTCACCAACTTTCGGACATAGAAGAGCGAAGGGTCTCAGGTGTGGCCCGCGCCTGGAACGTGTGGGTTGCTTCATCGGGCGACAGGCCAGGCTGGGTCGAGCCGAGGGCGGGACTCCCCACTGGCTGAGCTCGGAAAAGCTCAGCAGGGAAGATGGCAACAGTAGCTAGGAAAACAGGCTGGCCGGCGACATAGTGGAGGGGGGAGTACAGGCAGCAATGTCAAGCAACAAGGGCGCAGCAGACTGATTAGCAAGGCCAGCACTGCCTCGTGATGCGAGGCTGGGCGACCTTTGTGGTTGCGAGCGCGGTGAGTGTGCGAACACTTCCGTGTTGCTCCCTCATCGACCCGCAGGGTTGGCCGATCACTTTCCGGCCCATCCTCCGCAGCCTTGGCTTAAGCTACTGGTGTCGCTCGAACGACTTTGGGACATTCATCTCAGCTGTGGCGAAAAGAAAATGAACGCGAGAGGAGGCCACCGAACGCCGACCTCTTGAGCGGGCAATTGCTGGACCAGATCGTTCCGGGTTGAGCGACGTCCACCCGCGCAAACATGGCCCTTTTTAACGGCCTGACCGTCTCCTGCTTCCGCCTCCCAGCGCGCGCCAGTCCAACCTCAACGGGAGAGCCGGCCTCCAGAACACGGCAATTTTTCCAACAGCTGAAAGCTTTGGGGTCTTAGCCCAGATAGGCTCCGCGGTGGTCCGGGGCGGCCCGGCGGTAAGGTTCCACGTAGGAACGGGGGGGGGGATACGAGTTGCGCACAAAAATGTATGGTGTTTTGCACCCCGGGTCGAAGACGCTACGATCCCACAGATACTGGCGCGACCCAAAGAAGCTGGAGATGGATGTCGTGCCGGACGCGCAAGAAGGCGACCACCGGCTGCAGCACGCCGTCTGGCGCTGGGCAAGCAAGCCAACAAGTTGCGCGGCCTCGGGGCTCCATGTCGCGGCAGGTCCCACTGCCGGCACGCTGCGTGCTCGGGCTCTCCCGGGCGGTTGCACGCGTCCAGGTTGCGGACTTGAACGTCAATGTTCGGAATAATCGGCATTTTGGCTCAAGGGCTCACAGTCTGCTGGTTGACTGCTCAAAAGGCCTATAGGGAAGGGTCAAGTTGCAAACGACCGCAACAGGCGTTGAACTTCGCTGTTGTTGCTTAATGCGCTCTGCCAAGACATGACTAGCAGATAAGTTGAAGGCAAAACGCGGCCAAGAACCCAAACCAGCGCCGCGGCTTCTGGCGCTTGGTTTTGAGTGCCGAGAACGCACAACGGTCGTATCTATTTTGGGAAACGTTCCACACTTGGCCGCGCCTGCTGTTCAGCACGAGGACCGTCGCGTTGCGCTGCGATGCGCTGCGACGCGCTGCGATGCGCTGCGATGCGACGTGGCTCTTGCCATTGGGTCGCGAGGGTTGGGGGGCCGCCAGTGGTGATGGCACAGCGCTCCCCGGCAAAATAAACTCTCTGGCTATCAAAGCTCAGGCGGGCGGGGCATGAGCCAATTTACAGATACAACTGAAATGGAACAAGTATGTGTATGTATATATATATATATGTGCATACATATGAATTCTCCCCCCCATGAACTACATGTGTAGCAAATGTAATCAACAAGCTAAGAACCAAGGGGAGACTACTCCAAATCCGTTTGAATTGCAATTTTGACACTCAAACTAAATTGTGTCCTTCTTCAATTCTATCCATTCCTGATCAGTTTGTTGTTCAAGTCTTATTCAAGGCAAGCAACTCTTAAGTTCTAGTTGACACAGCAAATAAATTTGAGCTATTCCCTTGGCGAGTTCTATTCATGGAAAGGATGTGTTATTTAAGATTTAATTGAAGATAGAAGTCTGGCCGAACCATGTCCTCAATAGCTCCATGTGTATTGTGGTTACAAATGCCATTTTAGCATCATATGTGGAAAGGAATTCTCTTTAAATTCTGATTCAAAATAGAATATCTATGATAAATTTGTCCAACCTCATCAAACTCTGCTTAAATTCTGCTTAAATTCTAAAGAAGCATCAACTTGGCACAAGGAGCCCCTTAGGAGCCTTGAAAAGAGCTTTCTGAGGAGCTTGGCGCCGTTTAAGGAGCTTGCCGAACTTGATTGGGAGCTGAACAAAGAGCAGCTCTACAAGCAATTCCACAGAAAGCCTTGCACGGAGCCCTTTTTAATGAATTAGCCTTTTCCTTAAAAAGATCTGCACGAGGAGCTTCAAAGGCACTAAGTAGCTTTACAAGGAGCCTCATGAAGAGCTTTGCTCTTAATAAGGAGCTTTACAATGAGCCTTATAAGGAGCGGTATACGGAGCTTTACAACGTGCCCCTAAAGCTTTATAGCACCTTGAGTGAAGACCTTTTTAGCCAGGTATTGAATTCGAGCTCAAATCTTACATCTACTGTGATTCTGCCCTATATCTTTGGTCAAACATATCATTTGTCGTTATGTGTTGTTCACCACTGTTTGAATTGTCACATGGAACACACGAAAATCGATAAACCCGAAATCATCTGCGAGGAAAAAGTTGTTGGTTTGTTCCTCAGAGCTTTGCTTTTTGTTGGTTTTCTCAAGGTCTTGTTGGCTTGCCTCAAAATACAAGGCACCGAGTTGATTTGCTTTTTTACTCCAAACAACAAACTGAAGGGAAAGAATGCGGAAAGACAGAAAACACGTATGGCAAAACCAAATTTGTCCTCTGTGTTTTGTGCTTGTGTGGCTTCTAAAGGCTTGTATTTTTATTTTTTTTCAAACACATCAAGGGGGTTGCTGAGATTTAAGACAAAATGAGAGGGGAAAAATGATAGTAACACTGAAAAAAGAAAAGCAAAAGAACCAGACTTTTGGCAGAACCAAAACGTGTCCTCTTAGTTGTTGGTGTTTGGGTCTTATGGATGCTCTCTTTCTGTCCGTCTCCATCTAACCATTGCTAGAAACACAATGTGTGCCCTGAATTGTTGCAAACTGTTCCCAATTGGCGCAATGCACATCCAAAACCGAAACTGTTTTGCTTTGAATGTCGCAAATTCGGGCTGGCTATGCGGCTGCATGCGCGCATCTGCACAAATGCCTGTGAAACTGCGACACCAATGATGCCTCCTTTACCACATGAGAAGTGAGAGAACTAGAACCAGTGCCAGAGCCCCAAGGTGCGCTTCGCGCCGCCCCGAGCCCGTGCCCACCCGCAGCACCTCCGGCGCCATCTCATAGAGCTGGAAGCCGGCGATGGGGAAACTCACAATGATATACCTGTCATCGGGCTGCTGGCAGTCTCGGTCATTGCACAAAGAGAAGGACCAGTAATTGTTGTTGGACATGCTGGGTGGCACCAGTGCAGGAAAGCTGAACTTGTAAGTGCCTTTCCAAATGATGGCGCCGCCACCCATGTCGTCCAAAGAGATCTTGATTCGATCGGTGTACTGGGTGTCAGCCCAGTCAGACCCGGCCGCCAAAGGGAAGTCCTTGTTGATATTCTGCACGTCAGTGGGTGTCTGGACGTCGTGAATGAATCTCTCCGGCAGCATGATAAGGACAGCCTTCACGTTGGGCGTGTCCCTGGTAAATGTCAAGCCGATGGTGATCTGCGTCCTTTGCCCAGGTTCGGCCTGAGACCAGGCCAGGTAGGGATCCGTGACGCCGATCTGCACAATCGGCTTCCCCTGTATGGAGTACGCGGCGTCCACCACGTTGTTGTCCTGATCCCTGACAATGACGCTGAAGGTGTTTGCCGAGGGCGTCTCCGGCGGCAAGTCCACCAGCAGAGCGAAGGCGTACTGATCCGCAGTGAGCGTCGTACCAACACGGATTTGCAAAGGATCATCAAGACAGTCAGGCTTTCCCCCAGGCAGGCTGATCTGCTTCAGGGCACCCTCTGTCGAACACGTAAGGATGAACCCTGGCGGGGCCACAATGTTGATCTGGTTGCCCGCATTCACATTGAGTGCAAAGGTGAAGGCAATCTGTGCTTGCTGCACGCCAGCCACAGCAGGATACATGACGTTGGTGGCAGCCATCTGCGTCACAAAGAAACCAGCGCCTTCACCCCAGCCGACAGTAGTGCCAGCACCCTGGCCCCTGCCCTCCACATACCAGGTGACACTGCTGGGCGTCTGCTCCGGCGTAAGCACGCGCACCTTGATGCCCTGCAATTGCGTGAGAGGCTCACCTCAGTTACCCAAACGACCCAGAAATGAAAGGGTTGACTTTATGCGGCCATGACTAAACGTACACCGCAAAAAGGGAAGCGAAAGGTCAAAAGGTCGGCTTTGGGCGAGCAAGTTACCAGTGGGCGAAGCAATCGTCGCAGTCTTGCGGCTAGTGGAGCTCAAGGCCTCTCCAGGCAAGCACATGTCGCCGCATCCGCCAGCGCTTTCATCGAAAACAAAGCTCGGGGGAGCGATGATGATGAGCTCTCTGACAATGGCGTTGCCAGCATTGATGTTGAGAACCACATCCACCACAGCCTTTGGCGGACTTCTGACGGCCTCAACACCCAGCACGAATTGCTCCACTGGCGTGAAGCCATCAAGCTCGCCGTCGTTGGTGTTGGTGGGCAGGGCACCCCCGTCGCTGGTATCAAAGCGCCAGGTGTTGGTGCCCTGAACTGGCAGCACCCACATGATGATGGTGTAGGGCGTGTCAGCCTGCAGCGCCACCTCCGTGGCTGGCCGACCCGGCTTCAAAGTGGCTCTGAGGATGCCGTCTGGGTCGATCTCCACTGATGTCTCGATGGGGCCGATTCCGATCACCACAAAGGGCGATTGCTTCAGCTGATACTTCGCTTGGCCCTGGCAGGTCACCAGCAGCCTCTCGGAGGCTTGCACCGGTCGAGAGAAGGAGAGGGTGAACTCCGCCTTGGCGTCCTCGAGAATCCGTGGCTGAAACAGGGACTTCACAGGGAACGTCGCCTTGGCATCTTGGTATTGGCTCTTCAGCAAGGGGGCATTGATGACAGTGATCATCCCAGGAAGTCGGAAACCGCCGGAGAAGTCCAACTTCTCATCACGCTTGTCCATGAGGGTCTCGTCTTTGAAGGTGACAAGATTGAAGCGAGTCTGACCACCAGCTCGGCCCAAACGGACAGTGTTGATGCGGATCGTGGTCATCACGCCGGCCCTGAATCCTCCTCGATTGATGATCAAGGTGGACCCTTCGCTTTGCCCGTCAATGTCATAAGGCAATGCCACTGTGGACTGGTCAAAGTTGAATTGGCTCGGGAAAATGGCCTCTATTCTGATGGTCTCAGCATCCGTGATGGGGGTGAACTTAATCTCAATGTCGGAGATCTTCCCTGCTGCATACTTTGTGCCCACGAGGCTGATGTCCACGTTCTCCAGCTGCGGGTTCACTGACCAGCCCTGGAAGATGTGGGATGACTTCACCACGTCGGCCTTCATGTGGGCAGCCTTCCAGTAATTATCGGTCAGGAAAGGTGTCTTCGATGGGTTCGTAGTGGCGACCTTGAAGTGCAGGTTCTCGTTCTGCGGGTAGGCCGGATCCTTGGACTCATCTATCGTCCACATGATGGAGCAAAAGCCCTGCAGGTCGCAGGTACAGCCCGGCTCACCGGTGGCTCGCAACTGGACGTCACCCACCCAACGGAACTCGTTGCAGTTTGCAAGCTCCGGATTGCCGATGAGGTTGAAGCCACGAGGGCCTGTAACCATCACCACGTCTCCATCCTTGAGAGGGTCCGGGAACTGCATGAGGATGTCAATGTCGTTGACCTTGGTGTTGCCATTGAGCACCTGGTTGGTGTTCGCCACCTGGAAAATGTTGAGCTGGTTGTTCACGTTGTATCCCAAGAACTCCGTTTCGTCCAGGGCCGTGTCTGGCTCAGCAGAAAATCTGTGGAAGGTGTCGATGCGCCATGTGTCAGCCAGAGTGGAAGTCGGCGGGTTAAAGACCCACACAATGAGAGTATATGAGTATGAACCTCGGACATCCTTCTCTCCAGCCATGTACAGCAACTGCTTCACCGTGTTCTCCACCATGCAGCTGTAGTCAGCGCTCTCGAAAATGACTGAGCCATCAGAGACAAAGAGCTCCACCTCACATGCGAGATTGTTGTGGCGGATCTCGTAGCCCACTGGGACCGTGAGCCGCATCATTCCGCCGAAGTCCTCGTTGGGAGGCTTCGCCGGCACTGAGTTGTAGGGTGTGAAAACAATGGTCACCGGTGTTGCAGTCCTCATCACCCCCGCTCCCGTCGGCGACTTCATGGCACCCACGGCGCCAATGTTGAGGTTGGTGAAGGTCCACACTGTGAAGCCCTGGAAGGGATCCGAGGACTCATCGTTGAAGTTGATGCTCCACTTGTTCCAGTCTGGCGTGGAGTGTGGGTTGCTGCGGACACCAATCCGGAAGACGTACAGGCTGTATCTTCCCAAGCCACTGGGGACTGTGATCTGCGCTTCCCGACCATTTCCCAAGCACTTCGTAGGCCGATACTCAGGGGGCCATTCCGAGTAGTCAGGGGGCCAAACATCCTGCGTGTTCGGTCCGAAGACGTCGTTCCTGTCCGTGATCACTTCCGGCAGGCAGTTGTCATCGAACACGAAGCCGCGGGGCCCGCGCAGTGTGAGGATGCGGTTGGCTAGGGGCCGGATGTTGAGGCTGAATTGGAAGATCAGCTGGTTCGGCTTGCCAGGCCGGTCGTTGCGGATGGTGGCCGCTCGCTGCACCTGGTCCAAGGCGGTCATCTTCGCCTCGCGCATCATGTTGTCGATCTTGAATCCAGTCGCTTGCAGCTCCTTGTCCAAGATGGCTGTCGTGGGATAGTCGGAGGCTGCCAGGTAGGTGCCAAAGGTCCACAGGCCGGGGTCTTGCTTCCGGGTAGGAGGATTCTGCGCTGTCATCTCCCACCGGTAATATCCTGGCGGCATGCTGATCTTGTTCACCTTGAGCGTGATTTGAGGTGCACCGTCAGACGCAACTTGGTACACGCAAATCAGGTCGGTCGGGAAAGGTGAAGATTCTGGCAGTGCCATCACCGTCTGCGGGCACTGGAAGGAGAAGCCAGTGGTCACATCGCTGCCCTTCACCACGATTCCGGTTGATGGTGTCAAAGTTGTTACGGTCTGCACCGCGAACTCGATTCTGTTGTCCACGTAATTCACGAGGTTTGTGCTGGCATAGACCTCGGCATTGATCAAGGCAGCAATAGATGGGGCCTCCACCACGTTGGCAAAAAGCCTTTTTTGGATGTTGCTGTTGCGGTAGCCAAACTCGATGAAGAAGGCATTCGCGGAATTCACGGGATTGAAGTTGGGCACCTCCACAGTCGCTCGGAAGCCGTACAGGGTGCTGCCCTTGAGACTCAGTGTGCTCCAAACAAGCTGGTTCTGGTTCTGCACGCTGGGAAGCTGAGGCCAATCCTCGAGGGTTCCTCGGTTGCTTTCTGCTCCCCTGCTTAAAAAAGAAATCAAAAAAGAACTTTTAGTGGTTTAATGGAAAACCCAGTAGGCAAAAAGTCAAAGTCCCAACATCCCTTGGCAGAATGCAAAGGCTCCGTTGGTGCGTCGGAAGAAGCTGTTGGGATCCACATCCCACTTGAAACCCACCGGTGCGCTGATCCGCAGAGAGGTATCAATGTCCACTGCGAAGGTGATCGGGTAGAACACCACCTGGCGTCAAAAATACGTACCCCAAATGGAACCCGATCGGTAAGCGGAAACATGGAAAAGCTGCGTGGTGGTGTGATTTTGACCCATACCCACCTCTGTGTTGACGTTGGTCAGCGACGTGGGCCTTGGGGCGGCTGCCCCATCAGAGAGCACTTGAACCGGAATGGTCGGGCCGATCTCTTCGTACATGCCCCAGGACTTGTCGAAAAACGACGTCTGCGCGGGATCCTTGAACTTGTTGAAGCGCATGGTTGTCTGTGATCCTTCGAGCACGTAAGCATTGCTATCCAGCAGCCACAAGAACCAATTCTCGTGCTGCGTGGTGTCATAGGTCGTGGGATACAGCACCCGCAACTCGAAGCCGTAATAGAGCGGAGCATCGATGATACCCCCCACCTGCAAGCGAGCTCGGTTGTAGGTAGTCTCTGTGGTCGGATACCTCTTGCCCACACAGGAGCCCATGTTCTTCAACCTGTAGAGCCGCGACTCAAACTGGCCGACAAAGGCGTAGTAGCGCTCCGCGAGATCGCGGGAAGTGCAGGAGGCCCCGAAGTCGAAGCCGCTCGGGGCGTCAAAGACCACGTACCCGTTTTGGCCAATGTAGGTGGATGTGAAGAAGAAGATTCGCAAGAAATCCTCGCTGCGACGGGTGTCGTAGTTGGGGCCGCAGCAGCTGCGGGCGAAGCTGCTGGGCTGCACCAGCTCCTCGGATAGCGTGTTGATGATCGCAGGATTGCCTGCCCAGTAGTCCTGGCCCAAGGACTTCTCCTCCGCGAGAGAAATAAAGGGAACCTCCGGCATGTCGTAGGGCGCCGGCTCCGCAATGCCCTCTGGGTCGTATGCTCCCAGGCTGCTCAGCTTGATAGTCAACTGGTTCTCGGGATCTGTCTTTGGAAGCGGATTCACAGGGTTGACCACAGTAACTGCAACGTAAAAGACCATACCTGCATAAATCGCCTGGTTGTTGGCATGCAGCTCGTAGGTGCACGTCTTGATGTTGGAGTTGGCCCAGTCACCATCGTCTGTTGAGACGGCCAGGACGCCCCGATTGTTGTCCACATAGCCACCTGTCTTCTGGAGAAAGACCTTGAGATCCCGAGCAGGTGCGCCGGCACCGGCCACCGAGCATGCGCCATAGCCGTTGGGCAAGCCGATGGTCAGGAAGGCCGCGTTGGAACGTCCCACGTTCCAGAGTGTCGCTCCCAGCTTCAGGCGAAAGTACAGCACGTTGCCGACGTCGCTCCTGAAGGGCATCGGTCCGTAGCCCGAGCGGTCGCTGATGACGATACGGCCAGTCGTGGAGCCAGCATCGGGCACCTTCATGATCATGCCTGTGGCATGGATGTAGAAGGGCGCCGTGTCGTCCGGCTTGGTGAGCTGCACACCAAAGTTGGTGGGGAAAAAACCCTGCACGGGCAGCGTGAGGCCACTGATCTTGATGGTGTGTGTGGTTGTCTGATCGATTGTGTCCATCTCGGTCGGCAGGGTGATCTTCACAATGTTCCTGCGTCCACTGCCCGCCACCACCTCCTCGGAGCCGCAGCCAACTAAGCCGCTGCACCGCTTGGTGTTGAAGTGGAAGGGGATGCACTCCGCAGAACAAGAGCCGGTGCCCACATTCCAGGCCGTCAGAGGCCACATGTACATTCGGATCAAAGACTCCTTCACGATGCCTCTCAGCGCCGCTTCGCCACGAAGGCGGATCTGCAGGATGTTGAGGTTGGAGAGGTTCAAGACGCCGTCGAGCGGGTTGCTGCGCTGGATGAGAAAGCCGTCGCTGGCAAACTGGGGATCCGCCATGGTGGCGGGGACCATGGTGCCCCGAGAGACCACCGCCGAGCCAATCTCAAACACTTGGTACGGCCTGGCGCAGCCTGTAAACCCAGCGCACATGGCGTAGATGTCCACAAGCGGCTCTCCGGAAGTGAAGGACATGATTTTGGCGTTCAGGACAATGTGATACTCCACATCCTGTCGAAGTCCGTTCCCCTCGCCAAAGGTGATGTAGAATTCCCGGAAGAAGTTGGAGCTGCCCTGCGCAGGCACATCCGACAGCTTCTGCGTATAGTGGCAGCCCACCGGCATGGGGAATCCCTCGGGGTGGTTGGACCAGAACTCCAAAAAGATCTTGCCGCACACGTGCTGCCTCTGCTGCGCCTGGGTCACCTCCTGGTAGGGCGGCACCCGGTACACGCCACGCAGGCCCTGCTCCTGGGCGAAGTAGTAGGGCTCCAACTTGGTGCTCACATCCAGGAAGCGCAGCATGAGCATCGTCTGCCCCGTAGGCGTGGAATACTCCGAGCGGGAGGCGGTTGTCTTGAAGGCGATCACCACCGGCGCCACGGCTTCTTGCATCTTTGTCGTAAGGCTGACTACAGCGGATACCATGGGCGGAGGATCCTCGAAGTTGACAGTTCCGGCCTCATGGTAGAACTTGTTCAAACCTTCGGACTTTATGCCCCAGCAAAGCTTCAGGTTGGATGCTGCTGTCGTGCCCTTGATCTCCTCATTTGTTTCGAGCTTGTTTCGCCTGATCCAGTGCCCTTGCTGATCGACAAAGCTGAAAGGCACCACTGTGAAGGGAAATTCGTCGGTACTCACCCATCCTTGCGGGATCATCATCTGTTGGGCGTCTGGCAATTGAACCACCCTGTGGCCGACTTGGAACGTCTGGATCGGCCCTGGGTTGAAGGTATCCTGGAATTCGTACACCCCCGCCAGCTTGTTTGCCTCAAACCTTTCGATCGCCGTCACGGTGTTGATGTCATTGCTGTTTACCATGATGCGGTCGAGATTGAGCGTAATGATATCATAGCCAAAATCTGGGTCGGAGCCCAAGTGCTGGCTGATGTCCGCAGTGAATCTCAGCACGCTCGAGGATTGCTGGATGTCAACCCTGTCGATGTAGATGCCCACTGATGTTGAGGTCATCACTGAGGTCATAATCGACTCCTGCGCAGTGGCTTGCCTGCAGCCAGTGCCGTCTACAGCTGGGCAGCCAACTTTGAAGCCGAGGTCGCTGTCTGGGTCATTGTTGTTGGCCGAGCACTGCGAGGTGGCTGGGATGATGCGAAGCCGATCATCTTGGCTGAAGCCCCATCCCTTCAGATCGAATTTCACCACCACGTTAGTCGGGAAAATGAAGGACCTGCCACCTTCTGGACCCTGGATGGTCATGAGGCCGGCGTAGAGCCAAAAGGAGGAGCTTTCGCATTCATCCTGCGCGGAAACCATGCCGCAGTAGCAAACTGCGACCACTCCTGCCAATTTGACAGTCATGTCTTGATCTCTGTCTGGCCCGCTGAAGGACATGTACTGTGTGATGGTGTTGGCTGAGTTGATGTCTGGGTTGGCGATGTAGGTCTTGGCCGCCTGCTTGCTGCTTGGGCCGGTCACCAAGGTAGGAGAGTAGTTCTCCTTCTGGCACTCCCGGTCCATCTGCGTCTGAAAGTCCAGTGGCCGAGCCTGGTCGTAACTGTAGTGCTCCATCAAGGTCTTTTGAGCGGCGCCAACTCCATACTGGAGCTCTCGATCAAAGGACAAAATGTTGAGCAGCGCCTTGCCGGAGTACATATTGCTCTCGAAAGGGCTGGGCAGCGTGCCAGCCCCCATCATGCCGCCATAGAGTGTGACAGAGCCTGGATGCCCAACATACTTAATGGTCGGGATTGGGGCGGACACCTGCCCGCTGGCAATGCTCTGGCTGGCAAAGGCAAAGGCGTCAGACGTCTGGATGCTGCCCACCTTGAACCAGCTGTTGGGGTTGCCAGAATCAGCATTGCTGTAGCACACGTCAATGGCCCGCTTCAAGCTAAGATTCAACTTCACCTGCTTGCTCCTCCACGCCTTGTGGGAAGGGGAATCAATTTACACCAGTTTGCCAACACATTACTGGACGGGCTCCAACCCTAAGCTTTAGGGCTTGGGGGCTTAGGGTTGGATTGTGGTTGGATTGTGGTGGGTTCGAGTTGGGTTCAAGGAAGCGCTTCCCCGCCTTGTAGTCCCTGCTGTTGCCACCAGACAAAGCGCGGGAATCTGTTGTGGATGGCCACACAGCTGCAAAGTTCTCCTGCAGATACGTCCGGCACCCTGCATTGGCATCCCAAGAAGGCCGATCATTGGATGCGACCTGCCCAATGAACTTCACACGGTTCTCATCCGTTGCAAAGCAGCCGCCGCCAGGCGGGCAGTCGATGCGCAAGGTGAACTTCTGCTGAGGAAGCACTCTCATGTATCGGTATGATGTAGGCGGGTTTGGCGTGCAGGTCGTGTAGTGGTCATAATCACAAATTCGGATTGTCCAAAAGTAGATGACGCCAAACTGCTGGATGAACTCCGCGAAGCTATCACAGCATTGCGCGGCGTCTGCGTTCGTGCAGTGAGCCCCGCGTTCTGCGTTGTAGTTTGGGCAATAGCAAGCTGCTGTTGTAAAAGCTGAGGAATGTGTCGACTGCACAGCTGGCATTGTCGCAGTCGACTGCGTGCTGACGTCCATGTAGACGGACACGCCCGTGGGGACATCGAACATGGTCTGGTCTGGTGCGGCACTTGCGCATGCCTGTGGATTGTAGAGGACAGCGCCACCTGGATGGAAGGTCGCACACCAGTCGTGGCTCATGTTCGAACACATGCACTGGACTCAAATGACTTTTTCTGGGTTGGCTTAGGCTGGTTTCGTGTTGGTTTAGGGTGGGATTTACGGTTTCGAGTTGGTTTAGGGTTGGTTTAGGGTTGGTTTGGGGTTAGTTGAGGGTTCACTTCCCCGGGTTCAAACGAGGTGCTTCACCCCGCCTGGATCCACGGTATCAGCGCCGTACGGCGGAGTCCATGTGATCCTGCTTCGCTGTCCCACCTCAATGCCCCATCCAACACGACCTCCATCGTACTGGAAGTTGAACTCGCAGTTCTGCACGCTTTCGCCCTTGTACCCGAACCAGCACTCCCACCTCTCGTCCCGCAAGCAACCATCTGAGCCTCTGCAGTTTGAGGAGATGCCGAAGACCTGGATCATGGTCAGCACAATGTTGTTGTTGACTTCTGATCCGTCGTTTCCGCCAAAGGTGCCATCTGGCGTATAGCACAGTTTGTACTGCCCTCCATGCATGAAGATGATGTTCACCTGATTCTTGGAAAGAGTGTTGCCAGAGTTCGTGAGCAGCAGGGCGCCGTTGGTGATGCCCATCTCTCCCGCTATTGGATCACCAGAATCTGGGATGGCCACCCCGACTGGCATGTCAAAGGTATTGCCTTGACATCTCGTGCGGTCTGCCACACCCTGCACCAGTTTGACTGCTGGAGCGGTGTGCTCCGCGCCAATCGGTGTGGCTACATCATTGGTGGAAATGATGATCTCGTTGTAGTTCAATGAAGAAACCACCTGAGCAACGTCTAAAATCTACTGCCTCTTAGATTCTTTCAACATTGCTACAAAGATTTACATAGCCCTTACTCTAACCCCGAAGAAACCAGCTTGTAGAACGGTTTGGAAAGAAGTGTTGGTCTCTCACCTGGACCATGTCGGTGCCCTCAGTCGGCACATCCTCGCCGCCCTGCGTCACCGTCACGAAGCGCATGCTAGAGGTCACTGGCCATTGCCAGTCGGCACCCAGTGCGACTTGTAGGCGCCTCCCAGCCAGCGCCACGGCCGCATTGGGCTGTGCAAAGACAGGCCTTAGCTCCTCGGCGCTTGCATTGGCGCCAAAGCCTTTGGCAGCTGCTTGTGCCTCCTGCCCTAAGAGCAGTAGCACCAGCAACCAGGCTTTTGCCTGTCGTGGGTGCACATCTTGGCCCATTATGCACAGGCCGTCGTCATGTGCGTTGCAATTGTGACTACGTTACCTCAAGTATGGTTTCATAGCAGTGACACTATGCTTCTTTTATTGGTGCATTCATTGCAGAGGTACTCAGGTTTTGACCCTGCAAGCAATCATGGACCCTTGTTCGAGTGCAACAATCGGTGGTTTGTGCCTGCGACTCAGAAGATCTTGAGCCGACCTACCAACGAAGCATTTTGTTATTGCATCACAATGCCAGACGGAGATTTCCCGCATTTGGGAACGCGCCTCAGAATCAGCAATGTGCACCACGAATACAATGATACGGTAGATGTGTACACAAAATGTGAATAGTGAGTCGGGTTGCCATGAACATGCTGTGCAAACAGCCCGAAGTCAATTCCAATCCCGCAAAAGAGCCGTCCCAGTGGATTTTGCATAAAACCGAACCACAAAATGATGCAAAACCTACCATGACTTGGGTTATTTTGTTTCCATCATTCAGCTTGAAACACGCTCTCCAAACGTTTGAAAGGGCCAAAAACGGGCTCAACCCAAAAGAGGCTTAGGGCCACACAGGGACACAGCAAACCAAATCCGCGTCCTACATTTTCGCTGTCTTTTACATGACACCAAACCCACCCCAGTCACAAACGCCCGCTCGGGGCTATCCCCACGCCTGCGATGAGGATACCATGATTTGCAAGTTGCCTTGGGCAAAACGGATGTGTTTTTTACCAGGCTGTCATAGCTTTCCACGCATGAGCTTGAAACAGTTTGCTTAGAGTTTTGGAGTGTTGGTCCCTGCCAATTGAGCTATGATCATTTCTTACTGAGGGGTTTTTTGGTTTCGCGAGCGAAGAGAAGAAAGAACGAGAAACCAAGAAGACTACAAAAACATCACAGCTGACAAGAAGAAAGAGAAAGGAGAATAAACCCAAGAAGAAGAAAAATGAAGGAAAAAATGGAAACAGACAAAAAGAAAGGAAAAACACAATGAAAAACCGCAAAAATCAATGAAAAAGAAGAAGAAGAAACTAAAGCATAAAAGTAAACTAAAACAGAATACACTGAAAAAAGCACGGGAAAGAATGGCGCGCGATGCAAAGGAGGAGAACAAGAAAAAAGGAAGGCAAAAGGAAAGAAGAACAGAACTGTCGTTGTTTTAACCAGAATTCCCACAGCCGCTTCGCCAGCGCCTCGCAAACCCTAAAGAGTGAAAGCCCACCCCAAGCCCACATCTCGGGCCCTAAACCGACCCCCTCCGCTAAACCGCCGAGACACCGCCAAAAAATTCAACAAATTGAAAACCAAACTTAAACCAGTCCTGAAGAAAAGCCCAAGAAGCTTTAAACCAAACTAACCCACTCTAAACCAGTCGCAAAACATCCCTAAGCAACTTTAAATCCGCAGTAAACCAATCCACCCCAAACCAATCCTCTTAAACCCGCGTCCATTAAGCGCGAAACCCAAATTAAACCCAACCTTGCCGCCCCTCCCTCGCAAATCCGCCGACCCCATGCCTGGTCCAGAATGGACCATGCTTTTGGCATGGGGGCGGTGTGTTCTGTGTTGCTTTTGTTGATATGTTTTCTATAAGTTTAATGTGAATAGACTTATGTATATATGTTTCTTAGGGCGGGAAGTCCCTTGCACCGGGAAAATACGCCGGCTGGATTTCTGGATCTCTGGATGCCTGGATGTCTGGATTTCTTGATCTCTGGATCTCTGGATGTCTGGATCTCAGGATGTCTGGATCTCTGGATGTCTGGTTTTCTGGATGTCTGGATCTCCCCCCCTGTAGGAGGGAAGAGTGTGTGCAATGTGCCGGGGAGAGGGTTTGCTTCTGTCTGGGCATCAACATCACACTGAGGGCTGGCTTTCAAGCAGATCTGGTAGAAATTGATCTCAGAAAATTGCAAGTCTTAGTCTGAGAAATTGGCTTCCGGGAAAAGTTGGTAGGAATGAAATTGCAAATATGACAGTTTAATTTGTAAAATTTGTAAGATAAAGGAAATATTCTCCAAAATTACAAATTTTACAAATTCTAGTCTGAGACATTGGCTTTCAGACAAATTTGGTAGGAATTAAATTACAAATCTATCAAAAAACACCTTGTCCAAAATTACAATGTTTTATCAATTTTGTAAATATTAAAAAAAATCAGTTCCGAAATTACAAGTTCTGAGACAGTAGCTTCCAGTGGAATTTGGTAGAGAGTAAATTGCAAATTTTACAAATTAACAAATTTTAAAAATATCAAACAAATCTGGGCCAAAATTACAAATTTTACATTTTACAAATGAATTTGAAAATTTAAAAAAAATCCATTCCAAAATTACAATTTTACAAATTTTACAAAAATTTTTAGAAATTTGCGAATCTTTTGGACCGAAACGCCTTACGATCAAATCGGGCCTGCAGGCCTCCAAGGCGGACGCCAGCGCCCTGACTGCGTACGCCCTGCAGTCGGCCGTCGACACTTCCTCGGAGGTGGACTCGAAGATTGCAGCCGCCCTCCTGGACGCAGTCACCACGGCAGCCCTCGACTCGTCGGCAAGGCGGACGCAAGCGCGCTGGCCGCCCTGCTTTCCACGGTGGTTGGACACACCACTGGAGGTAGACACCAAGGTAGCAAATGCCCTGCTGGGTCTCGCCACCAAGGCCTTCATCGCAGCGCAGCTTGCTAGCTGGGATGCCAGCATCTCAGCGCTCCAGGGCGCCAAGGCCGACGCGACGCTGCTGGCCTCGCGAACGCCGCGCTCTCCGCCAGCGAGACCACGCTCCAGAGCGCCCTCGACGCAATCCTCGCGGACCTCGCCGCCCTGCAGCTTCCCGGCAGCGGGGGAGTTGTTAACGCGCCGACCTGGGCGGGGTTCACAACTTGGGAGCTCGTTCGCGGAAGCAACGTCGTTCGCAACCTGCATCTGGAGGCTCCTCTCTCTGCTGCGCTGGCCAACGGCGACGACACGCTGAGCATCACGGCCGACTGCTACTCCATTGCAGCAGCGGACGCGGCCCTCGCAGCTGCGCTGCTGGCCTACTACACCTCGGCGCAAGTGGACGCGCTGTTGGTCGACTACGGAACAGGCACGGCGCAGGACGGCGAGACGACCAGCGCCATCTCGGCTGCGCTGCTGGCCTACTACACCTCGGCGCAGGTGGACGCACTGTTGGCCGACTACCGGACGGCAAGCGCGCAGGACACACAGATGCAGGCTGCCATCGCGGGCGCGCTGCTGGCCTACCGGACGGGCCCGGACCAGGACGTTTTCACGACCAACCAGATCACCTCGGCGCTGGTGGCGTACCGCTCGGCTGCCGACCAGGACACGGCAACGGCCTCGAGCATCGCCGCCGCCCTGCTCAGCTCTACACCATTGCGCAGGGTGGACGGCTTGCTGACCGGCAAGCTTGGAGTCGCGGAGGCAGCTTCGGCCCTGGAGATAGCCGTGCGCTTCCCGGACGACGGCGGGGCCGACGAGGTCAAGAGATGGCAAGATGACGTCCCGTGGGACGCTGTCCACCGAACCCTCCGGCTGTGTATACTCAACCACGTAGAAAGGTGTATACGGTCAAACCGTTATAGCCAAACCAGTGCAAATTGTTGTAAGGGGGTAAAGACCAATAACCACGGTTGCACTCTCTGCAGCAGCAGCGCGAGTGAAGCCGTTTTCACTCTCTTAGATCGATCACAGACGAACGTAGTTCATGCAAGGCCTTGAGCCCTACTTGTGACTTGAGCCAAAGTGGCGTCCAATGGAACATCATAACCAACAAGAACATGGACCTCAGAACAGCTTCCCAATTTAGGCACGGGGCCAGGAGGGTTTTAACATCCCCCATTTGGGTCGCATTGTTCATCATGCGGTCCAAACATCACAACACGTTCCAATGGCCACGGCTCCGACTACGAAACTGTGTCGAACATTCTTTCACTCACTATTGCAACGCCGTTCATTCATTGTGAAACTTGCCGGGTTCAATCAAACCAGAAACACGCATCCGCAAATCGTAGCACATTCCTACACAGAAGCAAGAGGCATTCTGCCTCGCACCATCACGCAACCATTGGAAATCCCGGCTGCCGCATTTGCGCATCGCGCAGCCGTCATCCACAGAAATGGGTTGGCCATAGAAATCCATAGCAGCGCATGGCAATAAGCCATCTGAATACCATCGGCAAAGAAAATTTGGCGAGCAATATGCAAAAATAGCCATTCCAGATACCACGAATATTATAGGAATTGCGGTTGCACATGACGGACAAATTCGGCATCTAAGCCCTTCCCAAGTCTCTTCATTCAGGATGATGGTCTTGCTGATCTCGTCCCTGGTCTCGTTAGTCAGAGCATCAAACTCCTCAAGCTCGTTTTCCCGAAACAGTTTGCAGGCACGATCCACCATATCTTGAACGTAGTGTAGATTGTCGGCACCCGCCTCTGTCTCCGGCAATCCCTCGATGACCTTTGCAACGTTCTGAAGGAACATCGCGGACAGATCTCATTCTCGACACATTTCGAGTACGCCCGTTTGACGTCCTCGATCTCCAGGCATTTCCCCCCGTTGCTTTTGCCGATCCAAATGGACTTGACCTCATAGAACGGGACCACATCGAAGACCATAAACGTCCCGTTGAATGCAACTCCAGCTCCATACCGTGCAAGAGTAGCACTGGGAATGTAGATGATCGCAATCGGATCCCCAACCCGCAGTTTGCGTAGCGTCGTCTTCGTCGCTACGTTCATCTTGCCCCCATGCCCCGAAGTGCAACGCCAGCCTGTTTCCGCCATCGATTCCGCCGGGGACGAGCCCGCAACGAACGATACTTAACAGGTTCTCCACATATGTCACATGGAATGCTCCTCCAAGAGAATCACCCATCCTTGCAGAATACCTATTCGCCAGTGCGGATGAGCTCATGAAACCAAAGTCACTGTGCGAATGCACCAAGGTCTGTACCATCCATCGCATCTGCCGAATATCATGTCGATCTCACCTCGATCGTGGCCCATGTAGGTCAACTCCTGTCTGGCGGCCCTTGTGTCATTCGGATTCATGACGC